CTTCATACAGCCCAGACTTGAATTCTATTGAAAATGTATGGGCTGTATTAAAGGAAAAGATGGAGAAAAAGATTAAGTATTTAGTGGCAAAAAAAAACATTACTTGCGATGTATTCCTTAATACAATCTAGCAGGAATAAAACGATCTTGATGATGCTATATTATTTTAGTACATTGAGAGTATGCCAAGCTGAGTTAAAGTATGTATCAATGCAGTAGAAGAACACACCAAATATTAATTAATAATATAAAAGTTGTCATTAGTATTGTTCTTATAAATAATAAAAAAAAATATACATTAAAATAAAGTTTATACATACTGTCGAAATATGTTTCTGCTATTCTTTTCACTAGAGACTGTATGTATTTTACAAAAACTTGTTTATTAATATGCAGTGACTATAAAGTAACTATATAATAAATATATAGTTACTACCTTACTAAGTAATAGCTTAATTGCAACTTAATAGGTACTATGCAGTTATTGCATAGTAAGAAAACAAAGTTTCTGTAAAGTAGATCTTACTGTATTGCAGTATTTTAGGCACAACACTTTACAATTTATAGATAATTTATAAAAATAAATAATAGTGATAATTTGAATCAGAAAATTTTTATTTTAATACAAAATAATTTTTTAGTTATTTTCAAATTCTTTAAAAAAAAAATATATAATTTACAAGACACATTATTATAATAAAGTGAATTAAGTGTTTGAAGTTCTTAGCTAATTGCATTTCTAGTATTCTGATAAATATAAACAATTATGAGTAATACTTTTAAAGGGTATATATTTGTATAATAATAACAGAATATAATGATATACAAAGGTTTTACTCCATGTAAAGATTACGTTATCAATAAATATCACTTTTTTTAAGCAAAATTTTCAGTTACACTCATCGATTTTTTTTTGTCATTAATTTATTATATTTACTGCTCTAGTTACTTTACCAAATTTATTCAGATATTTGCTTTTCTCTATTTACTGTGACAATGAATAAAGATATTTATTAGCTTTATTCATTTTTTTATTTTAGTAAAATATAATATTACGTATATAACGCATAATGTCATTCTGCTAAATAATTAAATTATATCTCAAACTTATTATAGTAAAATTATTAAATAGAGGATATTTTATTAATCTTTAATCACTAAGGATATTCATATTATTATAAATCAAGGATTATTATGTTTTGATATAGAGTCTTAACAATAGTTTTTACCTTCTGTTGTATCTAAATATTAATGATATTAGAAAGCAGATAGCAAAGGATTTTTTTTGAAAACAGAAAAAAAACTTTATAATTTATTTTTAAATCTGTTATTCAAATATTTCTATTTTCAATCAGAAATCCTATTTAATAAATTATTGTTTAGTAAAATATTTTATTTCTTTTATTTTATTATCAAAATTATTTTTAATGATATAATGTATATTATATATATTTTTAGTTTATATATCAGGCTATTTTATTTTATATTAATATGCTATTTTAATTATTTATTATATAAGTCATTCTTAATGCTAATTTGATAAAATAACACTCTTTTTACTAAGAAATTTACTGTAAACCTTAATTGCTTTATCATTAAAAACTGATTTTTTCATACTTTTTTCTTTTATATTACAAAAAAAACAAAAACTAAATTAAGCTATTTTTTCAGACTGAAATTCTATGATCAGTATTTATGTTAACTTGTTTTACAAAATATATAAAACAAAGTTATATTTATAATAATTTCAGATTTTCCATTTACTTTTTGAAGCTTTTTGTTTTAATATTGTTTAGATGCATAAATTATTAATAGTAAATAAAATTCAGCTTTAGTTGTAACCTTTATATTATACATTTATTTAAATTATTTTATATTTAATTATAATTTATTAATAGCATGAAATAATTTAAACTATAAAAATCTTCATTGGTCAAAAATTAAAAATTCGGCCATATTAATGTTCAGCCTATATTAGACTAAAATCAAAAGTATTTAGCCTCAATTAGTAATGATCTATAATTAGACTTACATTAGTTCTTGTCAAATAATAGTTGAATAGCAGCCGAATAATATTATGTAATAAATAAATTTAGAATAGTCAATAAAAAATAATCTCGTAATAATTTTAGTCAATAAATTTTTTCTTTATTAAAAATGTTTGTTCAAATATTATATTCATTTAACCTAAATGAAACTTTCTATTTAATGGTATAGTTGCTAAGTATTCTCTAGCATTAGACCGATTTGATGTTTTATATTTTATAAGTATAAATTGACATAAAATATTGTATATTAGGATTATACTGTCTCTACTGGTCAGAAAGAAGCTGTTCTTCCACAATTTGACATTACAAGTCCTGGCATCATCATTAATGCTAAAGTAAAATCAAATTAAAAATGAACTAACTGCTTTATACCATCTAATATAAGCCAATTTATGTGATAAATTCCAAAAAGATATACGAATACTGTATTCAAAGAAATATTGAACTTAGCCAGGGTAAGTATCAACACTCCTATCACGATTAATAAATTTAGCCAAAATAAAAGAACTTTTAATATATCGTGGCAAAGTAGCAGATCTAAAAATCTCAGCGCTAATTTAACATCTTCCATATTGATTTATCTTAATGTTAACTATTATTGAATCAGGTGAATCATTCATAAATGGCTTTCTAAATGTCAAATTTATATACGTATCTCTGTAATATTCAATAAGATAATTGTGAATTGATTCCTTAAGATGAACATTTTCAAATCGTAGTTGTAAAAATTCCCCTGGAAAATTTTCACAATCAGTAACTGGCGATTCTAATATATTCTTCGAATTCATCAAGAATTGGTACATCTCTTCTGTCAAAAATTCATCAGCATCAGAAAGTGACCCAACGGATGATCAATTATCGAGTAATTCAAGGCCTTTTACTTTTAAACTAGAACTGACAATATCGTTTACTTTTGCTTTAGCCATCAATCAGCGTATTAGTTCAGGTTCAATTTAATGCTAACTATTAGGCAATGATTCTAATAAAATAAGCGAAATAAATGGTCAATAATCAGAAAATTAAACATTAAAAAGTTAATTATATTACCTAATACGCTATTCTTTCATTCAAATGAAAAGCACCAGAATGAATACAATAGACCATAATCATAAGAGTATTCACATAAATGTAATGAAAGGTGAAGATTCAGCGTTATTTTTCCTTCATTATAATGCTTTTTGATTAATTTTATAATTTTTATTAAACCATTATAAGCTTTAACCATCTCATCAACTTCTATAATTCATTTGACTAGAATTCTACACACTCTGACGAAATAAGTAAGAATTTTTCAATCTTTAGATGGAAGGTAATTCCATAGTACCACAGTGGCATATATCAAAAAAAAGTATCACTATTGGTTTGCCGTAAAATTAGAAAACCCTTCGCCATCATGAATTTTACTAGAGATCCGTCCCAAATCAGCTAGTACTTGAAAATCATTAATTTTCTTTTAGATTGATTGAAGAATATTTTGTATTAGTATATTTTATCAATCCATATTCTTTTTACGATCTATTTAGCAATGCCTAAAAAAGGCAATGTATAAGATCTACTACAACGAATCTAATGGGATCAAAATATGGAAGTATTTCTAGGAAAATCAGGTTCTGAGAAATTTTTGACTAAAATTAAGAGCTTAATACATTTTAATCTAATTACATCAAAAACTAAAATGCAATAAAAATCTCAATTTTGCTAAAAAATTCTCAGAACCTGATTTTTCTAGCAATCTACTCATATGGTAGACGCAGTAGTTCAGACTATCTTATATAATTTTCTTTGACGAATTAAGATCATTTAGCATTGCTTTTACATCATCACTAGTTCGAAGCATTTTGTCAATGTGGTGTTGAATCTTTTATAATAAACCATTTGTCTATATCTGCTATATCACCAAAATTATGTTGATTGTCAATATAATTTGCCTTTTTTTTACAACGATGACATGATATAAGAGCAGAAATGTGTCTGCATAACTTTTGTGCTATAAAAATATCACATGAAGCTATTATTAAAGCAGCATGAATACTTTTACCATTTGGACATTCGTGTGTGTGATTTAGAGTCATTCCTTTCTAAAGCGACTCAAATTCTGTAACTATAGGTAAAAGATAATGGTTTATCTTGTGCAGGTTAACCTCATTAGGCCCCAGTAATATATCAAGTACAAGCATATTTTTGGATCAAAACTGAATGTTATGCAGCAAATTACATATTGCGGCATATAGCACTCCTGTACTATAAATTGTACCTTCATACGGTTGGAACTAATCCAAATTATTGATTAATCCAAGGTGATTATCAGCTTTCTCTGGTCAAAAAAATTTGTTTGATCCTTAATCAGTCAATTCTTTGAAGTTTTGTCATATCTGATCATTGTAAATCTAATAAGGTATTGTCTTATTATAAACAATTAGTCTAATATTATAATGACTTTTTAAATCCTGGTCTAAGAAATATGCTGGAAAGTTACTATCAAATACTCACAGCCAGATAAATTAATTCAGATTTGAATGATATACTATTATTTAAAATAGTCTGCTTTGCTAAAGGAGTTTGACATTGCTTGAATCACTTTGTAGCTAAATTAGAGAATTCTATATAGTTACATTTTATAATCGTTTAATTCTGAATGTTAGTTACATCATCCTACTTATATAATTTGTGACATTTTTGATAAGCTGTAAAACATGTAAATTGATTAACTAGGCCTAAAGTTTGTCTTACCAGATACAAGGATTTTAGAAATGATTCATATTTGAATCTTCCACATTCTTCTAATAGAATTCTAATAAACTTTATTAGGGTCTCAATTGCGATATCCAGTAGTTTAAAATTTGATTTGAACTTTATTATCCATATTAGAATCTATACAGTTTAGTTTTGTTTTGGTAGTTCTGAGACAGTTGGTAAGTCAAACACAAGATGGGAATAATCTTCAAAATTATTCTAAAATTCAGCATTATTTCTAATATCTCTTTCATCATCTTCGGTTGATGAATTACTATCAGAATCTTTAGAATTATCAAAATTACCTCCAAAATCACCTCCACTTGGCGTGATTACATATCAAAAGATTGCTATTCTTTTCCTTTTACGTGAAAGAAATGTGAAAGTTTATCCTTCTAACACGTCGTCATCATCAATTGGTTCTTCTAATACATCGTTCTCATTGATTATTGATTGTGTCAAATGTCTCTCATCAAATAGCTTAATTAATAATCGAGATATTGGAGTCTCAGTTGGTAAATATTAATAGGTGAAGATGTCGATATCTCATTCGCCTTCATTTCATGTACCCTTTTTGTACGTGGATCAACCAGTTTTCCATTACATTTGCCACAAAGACATTGAACTTTTGACCTTGGTATTCTTGTTGTAATTTTAACATTTTCTGTAAAAGATGAATTTGGATTCAAAGAGCTTAGGTTATTCTTTAAAATATTAGTGACTGAACATTTTCTTTTCATTCTTAATAAAAACGATAAATGGAGTAATAAAAGTTATTTTATCGAATTTACCATATAAAATTTTACGTTATATATATATATATACTATTTAACTTTAATTTCAATTTGACTAACTTGTTAATTTATTGATAAATATAAGTTTAATTTTATCAACTTTAATTAATTTGACTAACTCATTGATTTATTGATAAATATAAGTTTGATTTTATTAATTTGACTAATTCATTGATTTATTGATGAATATAAGTTTAATTTTCTTGATTATTTGATTTGGTTGATTGAAGTTTGATCAATAACAAAATAAAAAAGTATAAATAAAAGATAGTTGACTCTTCCTATCACAAATTTTTTTTTCTTTTTTCTCACAATGATAACATTTCTCTTAAAGAAAAATTATTCAATATATCTTAACTACCAAAGAGAATCTATTATTCTAGGTCAAAAATTCTAAATACTCTACAAACGGCACCAGGTCAACAACTTGCTCTATTTTACTCAACAACAAACTTACCAGTTTGTTTAGTTCGCTTAACAACTGCGCCAGTTCATCTAACAGCTGTGCAAGCATATCTAACAACTGCGTCAGTTTATCTAACAGCTACATAAGCACATCTAACAATTGCGCTAGTTCATCTAACAGCTACGCAAGTACGTCCAATAACTGCACAAGCTTTTTATTCAACAATTATACCAACTTGTCAAACTGAAGAATTAACCAAACAAAGATATCCTAATATTAAAGTTCCAAGATTGATTGATAGTTATGATAATGTCAAACTGGTAATAAATAAGTCTATTTTATTGTGAATTATAAAAATCAACTATATAATGTCACCATCAAATTTCATGTCGTCTATGCTCCTAAATATAAAAATTGAAAAATTGAATCAAATAATCTAAACAGTTAATTCAGAAATTGAGAATTTAAGAAAGGAAAACAATCGGCTGCAAAATGAAATCCAATAGTAATGAGAAAGAGAAACTGAATTCGTAAAAAGAATTAGAGACCTAGAAGGACAGGTTCGACAGTTTGAAGAAGATAATAACATGCTTCAGATGTTTAATAATAAATTTGGAAATGAAAATAACAAATTAATGATTAAAAAAAATGAATTAAAGGCCGAATTGACACATTATTATCAATATTGAGTTCTGAGAAATATTCCTCTACCAATTATAGACAAAAGATTAGTATCACTGAATGAAACGAATGCTGAAGAAGCAAGAGTAGGAATTTTCTATGATTTGACAAATTGTAGTTGTTATACAATACATATGATATTTTGTTATAGACTGAAGTAAAAAATCTGATGAAAGGTCAGATACTAGCTGAATATCAACTGGATTATAAAAAGATATTCTCTGAATAATTGATAACCGTTTATGAAAAACTGATTCTGGAATTAAAGAGATTCATGGATGAAGTTTTTAACCCTTCTGTGACACAACTTTTGAATTAGATCAAAGCTATTCACAAACACAAAAGAGATCGATTGCAAAAATGACAGACTAGAGCATTGGAAAAGGTCGATCAAAGGTTACATGCGAACACTCGGCTTTCTGAAGTGATTATTTATTTAGTTAAATAAAATTTTTTTATTTCATTTATTTTATACATGCAGTTGTTTAATAATTAATCTAAATAATATTCGATAGAAGAAAAATAGACGAATAAAAATGGCATTTAAATTATTTAACACGAATTATGAAAAAGTTTCAAAATTTGACAAAAATGAAGTTTTGTCAATTCTACAAAAAAATGAATGCCATTCGCCTGAACAATTAGATAGTGAAGACAAATATCGAATAAGAAAGCAGAGAGAAAAAAATTTTCTACATGTCTATAACCATTCGTAACGCTCAGAAAAGGTAAATACTATTTTATAATATATATTATATATTTATTTAGACAATACTTATTCAACTTCACTTTTTATCTTT